GCCCTAGTTTTTCTCTTTTAATTCCAGCCACGGTTTCATTTCAATCTTGAACCAACCAAACTTTGAGTAGTTCTTGGAGTTCAGAGTTATAGTTACTACCACTTATTGTGGCTTTTATCACCCCAATCATGGCCTCCAGACTTGGGATATCTTTTGTTTCCCCCAAAGTCAATAAGGCACCTCAACAATTCCCAGATTTTCCTGTTAGGCACTTTAAGGAAAAAGAAAACAAAAAAACAGAAAATCTCATCAAAGAAATAGAAGATGTAAAGAAGAACCAAATGGAAGTTTTAGAACTAAACAAAATAAAATAACTGACATAAAATATATCAATGGATGAGCTCAAGGTCAGCAGCATAATGGAGATGATAGAAGAAAGAATCAGTGAACTTGAGGACAGAACAAAAAAAATTACCCAATTGAACAACAGAGAGAAAATAGACCTAGGAAACAATAATGTACAGAGCCTCGTGGACATGAGGGACTGTAACAAAAGATCTAATTTATTTTGGTCTATGATATAAGGAAAAGTTGGGTTTTCATCTACATGGCTAGCCAAATGTTCTGATGCCACTTATATGGCACAACTCAATGTGTGTGCTACATGTGGATTCCTTTCTAACTGTAGAAACTATTGTGTTGTTGTTGGGTGCCATCAAGTCGATTCTGACTCATAGCAATCCCATGGGACATAGTAGAACTGCCCCATAGAGTTTTCTAGGCTATAATCTTTATAGGAATAGATCACCAGGTCTTTCTCCTGTGGAGCCACTGGGTGGGTTCAAACCAGCAACATTTTGGTTAGTAGTCGAGTATTTAACTGTTGTACCACCAGGACTCTTGTGGAAACTATTAGTTCTTCCCAAATCCCATGTTTGAAGTGTTAAAGGGATGGGCATCTTCCACTTTACTAGATATTACGGAACCACTCTTCAAAGTGATTATTCCAAATGACACTCCCACTAGCTGTGTGAAGAGCATCTGCCATTCCATATCCTGGCAACCCTTGGTGCTATCAGACTTTTCTTTTTTTTCCAATCTCATAGATGTGAAATAATATCTCAGTATTATTCATTTTAGTTGGCATACCTTGAATATTAATGGGATTGAGGATATTTGTATATGTTTATTTGATATCCATATTTTTCTTCTATAAATTCACTCATTATTTACCCATTATTCTATTAAGTTGCTGATCCTTTCTAATAATTCCTAATATTAATTTTTTTTATCATAACATCGGTTTATAGTATTTTTGATAGTTTTTAATTGCTTTTGAAAATCTGGACTGGTGTGATATTAAGCTAGTAAATATCTGTACTCAAAGTCTTTAAAATTGCAGCTCAACACTAAAACTTAAAAAAATGATGATACTATAATAAAAAGATAGACAAAACAAATGTTGATGAGGATATAGAGAAATGAAAACTTCATACATTGCTGATGAGAATGTAAAATGGCACAACTACTTTGGAAAAGAGTTCAGTTGTCTTAAAAAATTAAACATAAATTTTCCACAGGACCCAATAATCCACTCTAAGGTATCTATCCAAGAGAAATGAAAACATATATCCACACAAAGACAGGTGTGCAAATCTTCTTAGCATTGTTATCCAAAATACTGAATACAACCTAAAATTGGATGCAGCTCCAAATTGGAAATGACCTACATGTCCACCAACTGGTAAATGTGCTATATCCATACAGTGGAATACTAACTGGCAATAAGAAGAAAAAAAAATTACTGTTACGTACTATGACATGAATGAACTTCAAAAACATTATGCTAAGTGAAAGAATCCAGACACAAGAGAACACATATTGTATGATTCCATGCATTTGAAATATCCAGAAAAGGCAAATCTGTAGAAACAGAAAGATTAGTAGTTGCCTAGGCTTGACAGGTTTAGGAGGGGAAGTGAGGTGGTGGTGGGGATTAACAATACATGAGCATGCAAGGTCTTATTGGGATGATAAAAATGTTATAAAACTGTTTCAGGTAAATTTACTATAAAATCATTGAATTAGACACTTGAAATGGGAGAAATATATAATATGTAAAATATACCTCAATAAAATTATTACAGTATAACCAAATAACCAGTTGGCATTGAGTCAACTCTGACTCATGGCAACCCCATGTGTGTCAGAATAGAACTGTGCTCAATAGTTTTCAATGGCTGATTTTTCAGAAGTAGATTGCCAGGACTTTCTTTGGAGGAGCCTCTGGGTTGACTTGAACTTCCACCCTATTGGTTAGCAGCCGAGTGTGTTGACCATTTGTACCACCCAGGGACTCCTATTAAACTATATATCTGTATCTATATCTGTATCTATCTATATATATATATATAAAGATAGGTTGCATTTTGGACCACAAGAATGGAGAATAAAGGAGAACTTCATATGATACCCCAGAGCTTATCTTGTATTTGTTTGTATTCTCCATATCATTGCTATTCTTTATTAATAGTTAGAGAAGCCATCTAAAATTCTAGGTGTCTGATGCTTTTGCTTTTTCTGGTGCCCCTCCCTACTTGAAGAAGATTAAAATTTCATTTTATATATTTGGCACTGTGTTTAGTTGATGCTGATAGATGGATTCACCTGAATCATACACTGATAAGTGAATTCTAAGATATTTGGGTTAAGTACGGGTAAAATGAGAACAATACGTGGTTGTCATATCAACCTAATGTGTGGTCTAAATATGGATCCTTTCTAACTGTAGAAAATATTAGTCCTTTCTAAATTCCAAATAGAGTGCTGAAAAGACAGATATATTATGAGGATTATTTTACAACAGATAAAATCCAATTTTTAATTGAAAAAATTAAGTTGCCTAAAACAAATAATTTACACACTATGATCTGTATGACCTAAAATAGCATATAATATTACATATGATAAATTTGGGAAAGTTTTCATTGATAAGAGAAAAACTGACATCTCAAAAGGGGAAGGAAATCTATTTTAAAGCTTTCATTCTGGAAGAGATAAGGATGGACATAGTAAAGACAGAATTAAATGGAAAACATTAACATTAATTTGTGACGTGTAAGAGAAGTGAAGTTAGCCATTCAAGTGGACTAGTAATGTCTGTGTCACCCTTTCCTACCACACTCTGGAAGAACTGTTGGTAAAAATGACACAGGAATAGAGCAATGAAAAATAATAATTATCAAGAGCTGATACCTGAAGCATACGTGCAATATTACTTTGTATAAAGAGTGAAAGATGTGGTGGAAAAATTCTCTATATCTGGCCTGAAAGTTTCATACAAGTCAAAAATCGCCACTTTATTGCTTATTTTTACAAGACCTCAAATTATTCAATCTCCTAATGCGAGAGTAAGTCAAAAAGTGTTGCTACAAAATCATAGAAACATTTACTGAACAAAAATAACAAAATGTAAAGCTATTGTTTCTCAACATGTTGTCCATTTAGGTCTATACACTTCTGAAGGTGGTGTTTCCATTTCTCTAACCCTTCCCAGAAGAATTCTTTGCTTTTTGATTTACTCAACGTCAAAACAGCAGTTTGGGCATCCTTGAGGAGGAACTCAAATTGTGTTTCTTTTAAACGTTCTTTGAGTTTGGGGAACAAAAAGAAGTCTGAAGGGGCAAGATCAGGGCTGTAGGGTAGATGGAATAAGGTTTCCCAACGAAATTCTCATAGGACAGCCCTTGCTACCCTCAAAGAATGAGAAGGTGCATTGTAGTGATGGAAAAAAATTCCTTGATCCAACTTTCCTGACCTTTTTCTCACCAATGCAGTTTTCAGTTTTCTTAAAACTTCTTCATAATAAACCCCCACGATTGTCCTGTGTCCTTTGAGAGAATCTATCAAGATTACCCCTTCGGAATCTCAAGAAACAGTCACCATAACCTTCTGAGTGGTATTCCCTCTCTTGGCTCATCTTTGAGATCTTCCCAACCTTCCTTAAAATACTTGACCCATCTAAAAATTGTTGTTTTATGTGGGACAGCATTCCCATAAACTTGTGTAAAGCTTCAGTGATTTCAGAAAATGTCCACTTGAGTTTTGTTAAAAATTTTACGTTAGCCCTGACCTCAGAATCATTTTTTTTCATGGCACAAAAAGTATCCTTTTTTTTTAAGGCACCCTAACTAGACTAAGACAAGTGTATTACTGAGAGAACTTGTCTGCAGCCATCCACTGATCACAGAGACATGTTTAAACACATTTTGTTTTGAATAAACCCACGCATGTATGAACTGGAATCCTAGTAGCAATACTTTTTGACTTAACCTCGTATAGGGATATTTTCTGTCCAAAGAAAGAAAAAGATGTTCTAATAAAATATTTAACAGTAATCTGCTATTGCCAAGCTACTCCATTCTTGTAAATCAAAATAATGTATTGTTGTTCCCATGTTTCTTGTTTGGGACACACACACACACAGCACTAAGGGAACCTAGTGAGGGGGATTAGTGATGTATAAACCCAAAGTAGTTCGTGGATGTGTAGGCAAGGGAGCAAGGGCATATTGTGGTCAAGGAAGGAAGCCAGGGACTAGAAATGTCAGCCCCAAAGGGAGAGACAAGGGCATAAACAAACCAAACAAGTCCCTAGGTTGCAAACCAGGAGTATCAGGTACAGGTAGGAAAGAACCATGCAAGATGGATTAGAACAAATGTTTTGTAGCAGGAACTGAGTTTCATAGCATGAGGGTAGTCTACTGGGCTAAGGCACCATGCCTAACCAGGCAAACAGTTCTATTCGGTATGGCTATGCGCAAAGGGGGCTCCCTTCCTGGTCATTGTAGCTGTAGGGCTGTTCATGGATAGTATATGTGATTTTCTTTTCGTTGAAATGGTTATTAGTCTGACTAGACCGTATCGTAGACCACTCTTACTTTGTTCGTACACAGCCTGCTTATCTAAAGGACAGCTGATTTTTTTTTTTTTTTATGTAAGTACCCAAAGGACATCTCAACATATGATTCTTACACCATGCTATATCCATTTCTGTTTCAGCTTGAACAGTTTTAGACGGTGCAGCCTTGCTACATGGTGTGAGAAATGGCTGTAGGAAACAACACTCAACGAAGTTATTCCATCATCCCATGTTTTATATTTGTTGAGGTAAGTGTATTTTTTAACTGTTATGGACAAATGGGAATAATAGCAGCAGTTTTTACGCTGAGAGCTTTGTTGATTTTGTAAAATATTTAATATTATGATGGATTGAGAATTAAATTTTACTAACACAGATACTGATAATTAATAAATTATGCAAAGTGTTTCTTGAATTGGAAGCCATAGAGTTGGAAGATTTGTAAACTTTATAAGGGAAAAATAATTACATGTTTTATTATATTTCTTTTATTTTCAGTGGTGACTCAAATGTATTTTAACTATGAAAGAGAGTATAGCATTTTAATTAAATCATTTCCTAAAGATCAATATCATGTTCCAGGAATTCAGTAAGCCAGACTGTTAACTGATGATGTTAGTTCACGACTTTTGCCTTGGAGCGCAAATAAAAGAAAAAAAAAATCTTAAGAGTTGACCATCTCTGCTGGACATTTTTCTTTAGTGAGGTATTGAGAGCTTGTGTAATGGATGATTTCTTTTGCTCATGAGTTATTTTGCTGAGTTGCTCCCAGTTTGTACCAGTAAACAGTGTCTCCAGCATCTTTTTGGTTGAACTTCCTGTACCTCCTTACCCATTGTACCTCCCTTTATATAATGCTTGCTATAGAGGAAGCAAAGACATGGAAATTTTAGAAAATTTGAAATCATATGAAGCCAAAATAAGTTACTTACCAGCTATCTTAAAATAAGATATTGATTTGCCAAAGATAATATTGTTTCTGCCTTCTCAAGGAGATGGGGCATCTAATGGGTTGTTTTTCATCATGAAGATCAGGTGTAAAATACTACAATGTAAAGAACAAAAAGTAAGTGTCCTGAGTTTCCTGTCTGGGTAACTGCCTGGAACGTCTCCATGTCCCCAGGGTCAGCTATAGCATGTTAATAGATTATGGAATCACTTTGGCTGAGTGTAGGAGGAGCCTGGTTTTGGTCTATTTTACTGTTCGTGTGAAAACACACAGACACTTGAGTAAAACCATGACTTAGAGTAGCAAAAATGTACTTTCAGCACCTGTGTTGTTTAAACACAGCCTATGAATGAATGCAATGAGTAATTTTACTTTTCTCCCCTTTGAAATAAGTTTGTCTGTTTATGTTGCCAGTTGGATAATTTTGAATATTTTTCTTTTTGGCCAAATATGTATGCGTTTGGCTGAATCCTGGAGTTTCATCTTATAGACATCCCTTGATAGTTTAGATGAACAAATATCACTTGATGATCCTCTGGGTGTATTTGTGAACCTGTTTATATTGCACAATCAAGTAGAGATAAAGAGTAGGTTGGAATAGAGGTGTTAATATTTAAGTCAAGGTACACATAGACTCAAGCTAAGCTAAATCTCTGAAAGAGTAAACAAAGAACTCCTCTCCCAACAATAAACACATATTCTTAATACTCTGCCTTTAACTTGCTATACAAGGATAACCCCATTCAGACAATACATACCCACTGTGTATATTGTGGGGTCTGGTTACCATTGTTGCTATTGAAATTGTGATGTAGGAAAAGGAGTTCTTCCTCCTGCTGCTCAGGCGAATAGGGTAGAAGGCTATAGCGCTAACTTTGTCACTATTAAAACCCTTTCTCTTTTGTTATACAAAAAATAAATGTTTAAAATAATCTAGCGGGAAATTGGGAAATGAGTCATCTGTCATCATCTTTATCCTTCCAGAAGCAATTTTATTTTAAATTTTCTTAAAAATCAAACAGGAACCAAGCCTCAAAGTAAGAGGTTTAATTTATTGCCGGAAGCTATAGTCTCTGCAGATTTTCAGCCCTCTAATGTGTGACCGATGAGCTTGACTGGTAGAGCGGGCAACAGGAGGATAAATTAGTCCTTCTGTAGCTTAACCTGATGCAAACATAAAAATAAGCCTAGAAATCTGGGAGAAGGAAGACGGTTTATCCTTTTTCTTGTTGTATTGTCATTCTTATTCTGCAGGGAAGTTTAAGGTATATCAGTGACTTCTCAAAAACAGGCAGAAGAAAGAAAAAGACAATGTGAAGAAGAATATAGTAGAAATTGAGGGGGGGGGGTGAATCTTAAGGCAGCGCTCATAATGCTCATTCAACAAACTCCTGTTGTTTACCTCCAGTATTCCAGGCACTATAACAGGGGTAGCAGAAAACTTCTTGTTAGCTGCCATTGAGTCAGCCCCAACACATAGTAATCCCATGTGTTACAGAGTAGAACTGCTCCATAGGGTTTTCTTGACCGTAATCTTTAGGGAAGCAGTTCTTCAGGCCTTTCTTCCACAGAGCCACTGGATGGGATTGAACTGCCAGCCTTTGCGTTAGCAGCCGGTCACAAACCACTTGCGCCGCCCAGGCTCCATTAGCAGAAAACTACTTGGTTAAAATGTCCTTTTGACCAATGAGTATCCTTTCATTGTTGCTTTTAATTATGAAATAATTCAAGCACAGAAAATAAAAGACATACCAGCAACCAACATCAAGGCCAAATAAATTTTAAAATTTTGCCATATTTGCTTCAGACTTTAAAAAAGGTAATGAAATTTTACAGATATGGCTGAAGTCCTACTGTCCTGGCCCCAGAAGTAGCTGTGTATGTAAAGTTAGAGGCATCCTTCTCTTGTATGATTCCCATGCGTGTTTCCATATTTTTTCTCCAGGTGTGTATATTCATAAATGATGTGTTAGGAAAATTTTACATAAATAATACCATACTGAGCCTTCCTTTTGCAACTTGCCTTTTTCATTCAACATTATGTTTCTGAAACTTATCCAGATTGGCGGTTCATTCATTTTAATGGTTGTATATTATTTTATTGTGTGAATATACCTATTAAGGGACGGTTTGATTGATTCTTTTTATTTGTTTGTTTGCTTAATATGTGTTTTTCTCTTCCAAGTGTTTTGCAAATTCCAGGATGCTCACAGCAATATTTGCGACCAAGAGTTTTCAACTCTTTGTCCTCCAGTTCTACCAGTGCAAGTAACAAATAGCATTATTCTAATCCTCCTCCTACCAAACGTTAAAACAGGCAAAAGCTAGAGAAGTCAGAGGGAGCAGGGAAAGGAGTAGAAAATTAACAAATTTTATAATCACCCTTTATATGAACATGAGGACATCTGCTTTCTCATTCTCATTATTGGACATCGAGGTCAAAGTATTAATTGTTGGTAGAGGTACAGGTAATTACAAAAAATAACTTAAAAACGTTGATCAAAAAATCAAACATTCTCTCATTGTGTTTTTCATCCTTAGTGTCTTGTCTCTTTTTTCTTCCTCCCTCCCTTCTATCTTCCCTCCTTCCCTCCTTTCCTCCCTCTCTCTCTTTCTGTATTTATGAAACTCTCTCCCTCTCTCCCCCAAACCCTTCTCTCTCCTTTTCTCTTTCTCTCTCTGTCATTTCAGCAACTCCTCTCATGCTTGAAGATCTTCAAAAAAGAGAATTTCCCTGAGGGAAAACACACTCAAAGTGGTGACTAAACCAAAAAAAAACCAAACCCTTTGTCGTCAAGTCGATTCCGACTCATAGGGACCCTATAGGACAGAGTAGAACTGCCCCATAGGGTTTCCAAGGAGCACCTGGTAGATTCGAACTGCCGACATTTTGGTTAGCAGCTGTAGCTCCTAACCACTCTGCTACCAGGGTTTCCAAATTGGTGATTAAAGCATCATTTTTTGCCCTAAAAATAAGAATGTGAACTTTTCGAGGTGTCCCTTGCTACCACCACCTCTCAACGAATATCAGACGTATTCTTCCAAAATGCTTAGAACTGAGATGCCCCTTTGACAGATTTTCCCAGATACCAGTGGATTCCTCTCAACACAGTTTCACTGTATTCTCTGTAAAATTGTGAATAACTCAAACAGTCAAGTCTCTTTCAAATATATTTGTGCTAACAGCAAAACTCTAAATGGAGCTCAGCTTCCTCAGCAGACAATATTAAGTACCAGGAGTTTGGACATAATGAATGCAATTGTTGCTGGATGTGTACAAATGAGACAATTTTACCATTTTGACGCTTGCTTGCACTTGCAATTTTTATTGCCTGTTTTTGACAACTCATTTTTCTCAGCTCAAACCTACCAGGTGATTGTTATAAATCCCAGCCTGGAGATAAATAATCTCATGAAGTTCTGCAAGAATTTGATGATTCTGAGTGTGTTTCTCTGAGGGCAGAAGTTAAGGAATTCTGCACCATCAGTTCTGAACTCTGAGCATCATCTCAGCACCTCCCTCATTAGTGCCTCAGTCTTCGAAAGAAAAATGTATCTTGGCCTTGATTTCTGCTCTCTACCTGCAGACACTTAGATTTAGAAGCTTTGACTGTCTCGTTTCTGAGACTCAGATTGAGACTATTTTAGATTTTTATAGTTAGGTCACATTAAGAACTTTTTTCTCTTTTAATATATATTTTTTAATTCTCCTGGTTCCTGCCCAGGAGAAAGTATCAAAATTTTATCCTTGTGTATAATGGAGTAGAAATAGAAAATAACTTGATATAAAAAGCATTGGGTTTGAGTCCTGGCTCTGCCATTTACTGTTGGTACAAACGTGGGCAAGTTCTTTGGACCTCTGTTGATTCATGTGTGAAATGGAATTAAAAACATCTTCATGGGCACTTTCAAGAAATAAGTAAGATAATGCACCTGAGAGTACTTGTCAAGTAATAAGTGTTTAATAAATATTAACATAGACATAATTAAAATAACAACTCCTACTCAGAATGAGCAACAAAATGAAATATAAACAACCCACCCCCAATTAAAAAAAGATAGGAAACCAGATCTCTGACACTGAGAGAGGGACTGCCCAGTTTAATCTCCGGATATATGATATTGCTGAGTTTAGGAGGATAACAATTTTTAGAGTATGAATTGAGGAATTACTGGGTCAAGTTTCAAACAAAGCAATGAAAAAAAAATGAGTGTTTTAAATTACAGTGGAAATTGCAATGACAAATGCAAATGACAAAGTACTTTTCCATCCATTTTCTTATTTAATCATAATTTTGA